ATTCATGAGATTTCCAAATAAAAAAGGAAGACTTTTTTTGAGGGGGCAGGGAGGAAGATAGTGCTGTAATATAATATCCTGAGCCAGAAAATGTTCTCCAGACCGACATTTATCTTAAAAAGGAGACCATTCATTCACTGTATAAACATTTATTGAGCACCTACTATATGATGGGGACTAAACTGGGTTGTGAGAATATAGTTGTAAACAAGCCAGAGCACTTGTCTTCATGGGACTCAGTCTTGAGATGAATCGGTGCTTGAGATGATTACAGATTGTGATGACAGCCATCAAGGGAATTGAACAAGGTGTCCTCAAGCGGGAGGAAGCCTACTCTGGGTCTGGTAGACAGGCACTCCTCATAGGAGGTGGTGTTCACCTTGAGGTCTAAGAGATGAGAAAGAGTGGGCTGTGTAGAGAATCAAGGGAGAGCATTTCAGATGTGTGATTTCTTTAAGCAGAAAATGGAGCGGTCCTGGGATGGGACACTGGAGGGAGACAATGGCAGATGCCCAGACAGACCTGACGGAATCCTGAGCCAGGGCTGTGCTGGTGGAAATGAGAGAACTGAATAGATTCCAAGTAGACTCTCAAGATGGGAATGGCAGGACTCGATAATGGACTGAGTGCGGGGAATGAGGGGTAAGGGGAAGTCAAGGAAGGTGTCAGGGTTTTTGGCTTAAGGGACAGAGTGGCTGGTGCCATTTACTGAGATGGGGGCTCTTAGGGAGGAACAAGATTTCTTGGAGAAAAGAATCAAGATTTGTGTCTTGAATATACTACATTTAAGATACCTTTGAAATGCTTCAGGGGAGAGTCAAGTAGACAGAGGGATGCACAAACCTGGATCTCAGGATAGAGGTCAAGGTTCACCCCAGCAATGGGAGAAGGCATTGACGTGAGTTGGTGGTCCTGAGCTTGTGGGGCTGTGGAATCACCCTGGGCTGTGGCTCTGTACATCGGCTGCACGATGGACTATGTGGTGAGCTTTTAAAAAATGACTTTCCCAGGACCCTTTTCCAGAGCCCTGGATGTAATTGAGCTGATGGACATGCATATTTTTCAAAGCTTGCTGTTGTTGCTATTGCTGTCAGTCACTCAGTTGTGTGTGACTCTTTGTGACCCCATGGACTATAGCCTGCCGTGCTCCCCTGTCCATTGAATTTTCCAGGCAAGAATACTGGACTGGATTGCCATTTCCTTCTCAAGGGGATCTTTCTGACCCAGGGATCAGACCCAAGTCTCCTATATTGCAGGTGGATTCTTTACCACTGAGCCACCAGCAGCAGCAATAGCAACAGATACAAGACAGCAGTTATCCATTCTTCATAGCTTCCTCCTGCTTGGAAGACCCATTCTTTGGTCCTTTATATTTTTAAAATAATTTTTATTATTTTTTGGCCATACCGCATGGCATGTGGGATCTTCGTCCTCCAACCAGGAATCCAGCTCACACCCGCTGCAGTGTAAGTGCAGAGTCTTAACCACTGGACCAGCAGGGAAGCCTTCCTTTGGCCCTTCAGATGACGTTTGGTTCTCTCAGTACCATGGCAGAGTGTCTGTCCTTGATTTAAGTCAGTGTGCCCTTTGTCCTCCGAGTCCTCGATTTCTGAAGGGGTATCTTGGGTGCTGAGGATTTAAGTACCTCTTCTTTCAGCCTCTCATTCAAATGTCACCCTGATGTGGTTTAGTGGTAGCAGGTACTTGTCATGGTTGAAAGATGAAGAACCGTTTGGTTTCTGCTCTTCATTCTCCTACAAGGATTCTGTTGTGGTCGTGGAGGTGGCTGTGAGGGGGCAGACATTCTAGAAGGAAAAATGCAGGGTTTTCTGTACAGATGTAACTGCAGATAGACATTCTCTGAATTACTATAGGGTGTCTGCAGATACTTGGTAGCTCATCTTTGAGGATTGTTTCCAAAAGGTCATTGAGGCTTTTCAGATTGCACCTGCTCTTAAATTTCTCACACACACTTGTGCTCCTCAAAGTCCTTTATTCTTGCTTATGACCTCCTATCACTGCCCTGAGGCACCAAAGGAAATAAATGTGTCCTCACATACCTGGGTACTGAGTTCACATCTCATACGGTCTATACGCGTGGCATGCACGCTCAGTTGTGTCTGACTCTTTGCAACCCTGTAGACTGGAGCCCCCCAGGCTCCTCTGTCCATGGAATTCTCCAGGCAAGAACACTGGAGCAAGTTGCCATTTCCTTCTCCAGGGGATCTTCCTGACCCGGGGATCGAACCCTTGTCTTTGGCCTCTCCTACATTGGCAGGCAGGTTATTTACCATCTGAGCTACTGGGAAAGCCCCCGCATATGGTCTCCATGAAAACCTCATGAAAGGACTGTAGAAAGCAGAGGCAAAGCTCATTAAATTTTCTTGTGACTGTGGCCCCCATAAAGCCCCGCTATATAGAGGAACCATGTGACATCATGGAGCCCTCCCTTCAGCCCTCAGGGAATCTGCCTTTCCCAAAATATGGCCTATTAAAAAAATAACTTCCAGAGACAATTCCATAAGCTTTCTTGTTAATGTTTACAGCTGTATCAACACCACACCAATACTTTTTTTGGGGTATGTGTATGAACAACAGAATCCATGGATCTAAGTGTCATGAGTACTATGTAATTCTCAAATCGTGAACCTTGTAAGATGCAGCAAAGTGTATTGATGGAAGTTTGTTTAGAGTAATGGATGAGCTATTAACTTTGTAATTGAATCCTTGCTGCTGCTTCTGCTTGTCTTGAAAACCAGCCTGATGCCTTGCAGGGCTTAGTCCTCGGGTCCTTCATTCTGGCGATCTGAATTTTTTCAGTCCTTTGTTGCCACTGAGAGAGGAAGGGAGATGCCAGGATCCAGCATGGATGGTGCCACGCAATGTGTAGAAAACTTAGTCTACTAGGACCTGAACTGCATCCTGATCCATGCTGAGGTGGTCAGTAGCTGAGATCCACAGGCTAGTTGTTTTATCTCTGTAGGTCTCGGTCACTTCATCTGTGAGCACCTTACTTTCTGGGGCCTGGGAGCTGTTTTGGATAGTCTCTGAAGGTCCTTTGGCTCACCTGGTAATGAATCCGCCTGCAATGCAGGAGACCCAGGTTCGATCTCTGGGCCAGGAAGATTCCCTGGAGAAGGAAATGGCAACCTACTCCAGTATTCTTGCCTGGCAGATCCCATGGACAGAGGATTTCTGGCAGGCTACCGTCTGTGGGGTTACAAAGACTCGGACGTGACTGAGTGACTAACACAGACAAAGGTCCTTTAGATTTCTACAATCTATTTGTAATCTGGATTAAAATATCATAAATGGTGGGGAAAACAGCCATCAGTAAACAATGAGCTTTCCTAGTTTGTCCTGATCATTTTTCTCCCAGTCTTGGCCCCTCGGTTGTAGCACGCCCCAGACTTAACACTGGCAGGAAATAGGGTGGTGGGTGCATTTCAGTTAATGGGCCTTAGTTGGAACATGTTTGGCTGTGGAGGCAGCTACACTCCTATTACCAAGCCTTGGCTTCCTGTCTGTTTTCTTTGGGCTGGGTAGGCAATGAAAAAGGAGACAGGAAAATACATTTGGGGGCAAATAAAATAAGGAATTTGTCTTAGGGGGACAGCTTATAGTTGGGAAATTCTAATGCTGGGCTTAACCCTGTCCTGATATATCTCTCTTGTCCTGTACTAAGTGGGTGAGGAGGTGTTCTTGCTACTTGTAGAATTGACCTTCCCATTCTTAAAGGCTCTTAATAATCCACCTTCAAGGTTTATTCTATTATGGATAGTATTCCTGATGCCCTTAATTTTTTCCTGCAAATTCTTATTCTAATCATCATCTTAAATGGCTCTTCTTTGAATTAGCTTCAGTTACTTAACATTTTACTAAACTGTTGGGGCAATATACTAGGGCTTCACTGGTGCAGAATATGAAATGTATTTCTGTTTAGCCAGTAGGCATAATGTTACTTGTTCACCACAGTCCCACTCTACGGATTTATACTAAACTAATGTTGCATTAAGAGTCAGATGTTTTTCTGTTAATATCTGCACCAAGGCAATACTATACTCTTTACTAAGAATGATTGGATGATTTTTTAAAAGTCTTAGTATCTTGATTATATTTCAATTTGCATAGTTCTTTAATATCTAGAATTTCTTTAGATTTTACACTTGAATAAACTAGAAGAGAGACAAAGTGAGGTTTTTGTTGTTGTTGTTGTTTTAAAATAATGGATTCTCACATTCCCATGGTAACCCAAAGGGTATTTTTCAGTTTCTCTTACAGAACCACAGTACTCGATTTAAAATAAAAAAGCATTCTCTCTGATTAAGCATAGTTTATTATACGCTTTCAGGCTTTGGCATATCACAAAATAGCCACATTCCTCTTGAGAATTTGAGTTTCCCTGCCTGTTTTTCTGTTTCCCTCTTAAAGGGGTTCTCAGTTTGAATTTTCATTTTTCAGAAAGGAGTCGCCATAAGGTACAGTTGTAACATAAAAGAGGAAAAGTCACTTATGGTCATCACGGAAATGTCCCTTTGACCAATGTGTTTGTCTCTGTCTCTGCCCCAAGGATGGCCCAGTATGTGTTCCATGCATAGACTCAACTTTCACGGGATGTTTCCTCCTTCTTGAAATGAGCAAACACAGTTCCAGACATGGTCACCCTTCCCAGCCTCACCAAGAGGCCAGAGGGGGCGCCCAGAGAGTCCCTTTTGGGCTCTGGTGTCCAGACCTCACCACTGACTCTTGGCCCCGAGTCACCCCTCTGGACCCCTCAGCTCTCCATTCAGAACCAAGCCAGGGACACTCACCACGGAATGATGTTTACAAAGCCCTTTGAAATGGAAGACATTATACAGATGCTTCATTATAAAGATCAGTGTTGCAAATTCCTTGGCTTACCCCTCCCTCCCCCCAGTATGTATGTTCACGTATCTATTTAGCATGGTCAATTGTTCAGCTAATTAATATGCTTTTATTTTATGATTTGCTATTTCCAGGGCACAGACAGAAGCTTGATGACTCTAAACCTAGTTTGTTCTCTGATCGCCTCAGTGATTTAGGGCGCATTCCTCATCCCAGTATGAGAGTAGGTGTCCCGCCTCAGAACCCACGGCCCTCCCTGAACTCTGCACCAAGTCCTTTTAATCCACAAGGACAGAGTCAGATTACAGGTAAGACAGACTCCTAGGTCTCACTTGCGCAGACTCCGGCAGGCTGGGGGTGAGGGGCTTCCAGATGAGACGCGTTCACTTCACAACTCCTGGAGCTGGGAAATGGCTTACGATGAAAGAGATCGACACTTGAAGATACTGACCTTCTTCTCCTTTTTTTTTTTTCTTTTTAATAAAAAGCAAATAACAATATTCACTAACTTGGGGATAAAGTTTGGGGGAAGTCTCTACGGATGCTGTCCTCCGTAGTGATGTCAGTCTGAGCGGAGGTGGGATGGTTATATCATGCTCTCTGGGAGAATGTGTGTTGTAAGTTTCTCTATATTGTGTCCAGGTGGTGTGGGGGATAACATCACACCCTCACTATTAGAAAATTAGTGTTACTGGCTCAGATTTGGGCTTAAGTTTCTTACATGTATAACTATTTCATTAAGTGTGCTTGAAAACTGCCCAGGGCTAACAGGAAGTCTTGATTGGTGGTTACAAGGCAAGACCAAGGAGCGGCTTCTAGGGCAGACAGAATCCCACCCCCACCCCCGCCCATTCCTGTTGAGCTCCCGTTCTTCATGCGACATTTCTCTTCATGCATTCCAGTGTGCTTCTTGCTTTAGTTTTCTTCTTAAAAATGAACATCAGCATCGCATTACAGACTAATCATTCACATTTGGTGCATTAAGACTCCCAACTCTTTTTTTTTTTAATCCTATCTGGCTTGGGCAGATCTTACTGTAGGACTAGTCTGATTGCTTTTATGTCATGGTGATGATAAAGTGTGCTAATCATTGTACATCTTTAATTTGCCAGCGCAGTATTGAGAGCAACAAGGAACTCATAGATCATCTAGTTACTATTGTTGGCACAGGGACCAGATGGGAGGCAAAACGATTCAAAATAAAATGTATGATAAACCTGGATCATTTCAAAGGGTTAGTTTTTGTCTGTAGCAGTTAGGTTTTGAGTGTCCTTAATGGTTTGTAAGCATAACTGTTTATAAACAAAATGACCTGCCTCTCCTTCTCTCCTGCCCATATTAGATATCTATCTTCTTGGATATTTACTTATGTTTCTGTGGGTCTATATTAGTCTGAAAATTTGGGTATGCCTGAGTATATATGTTTAATATAATATAGAACTATAAAATATCTAAGCACTGAAGAGAAACAGATACCTGTGTTAGGGAAGATCCTTAGAACTCTGTGAGGAAGAGTCATGTGTTAGATTTATATAAATCTCCAAATGTTGAAATGTAGGAGTCAGGTCAGTGTGTTCACTAGACATGGGTCCTTGATAAAAATGCTAGGGTGAAATTCACACTAACTGGTGAATTTGAAGCTTGTGGCTATAGGTACTGATGCATTTAAAGTAGTGGACTTTTTAATTTTTTATTGATGTATAGTTGATTTACAGTATTATATTAGTTTCAGATGTATAACATGGTGATTTAAAAATTTTATAGATTATACTCTGTTTATAGTTATTATAAAATATTGGCTGTATGCACTGTGCTGTATAATATATCCTTATACCTTGTTTTTTATATGCAGTAGTTTGTTTAAGTGGTGGATTTTATATTAGTGATTAAGGGTCATAATAGCTGTCCTTTTGTCTTTATAGGAATCTTTAGATTCCATGTGTGTATGTGTGTAGAACCACATGTACACATATATAAATGTGTTTATATGTGATTTGGAAGGACTATGATGGCTAATATGATATATATAAGAAAAATATATGTTCTATGATTTGGCAATCCCTGGGTTCTTTAAATGTGTGATTTTTGTATTCTGATCCTTGGTAGTGGTTTAGTTGCTAAGTTGTGTCTGACTCTAGTGACCCCATTGACTGTAGCCCACCAGGCTCTTTTGTCCATGGGATTTTCCAAAAAAGCATACTGCATTGGGTTTCCATTTCCTTCTCTAGGGGATTTTCCCAACCTTGCGATTGAACCTGTGTCTCCTGCATTGCAGGTAGCCTTTTTACCACTAAGCCATCAGGGAAGCCCAATTTGATCCTTAACTGTTTACTAATTATATTTTGCTAATGACTGATGCCTTTAAAATGGTCTTCGGAGATTGTGTGTTGCTAGATTCTTTTAAGAAGAATCTATTTTCTTAATAGTGATCATGGTTGTATAGTCACTATGAGTTCTCCTACTTGCAAGCATAAAAGGCAAGCTGAACTCCCAGAAGAGCGACATGAAGTTAGGAACTATAAATTGAGGAAGCCCTAAGCCTTCCATGTTTCATGTTAGTGTGTCTTGCAGTTCCTGGGGCTCAGGGTCCTAGGCATGCAGTGGGCTGGCTTCTTTGCAGAGCTGGTCTGACCTGTCACTGTCGAGGTCTTAAATGGCTGTCGTTCTGCCTGAGGGCCCAGGGCCTCCCCATAGTTTCCTGAGGAAGTTGCTTCCTCTGTACCTCTTTTTTTTTTTTTTAATCTTTCAGACATTTGTTGCCTGTCTCTGGGTGCTAGGAAACACCTAGTCTGTCAAAAATATCCACTTTTGATTCAGAATGTGGTAATAACAGTGGTGATAACTATGTCAGGAGATATTGCTCATGATAAGCACTATTTTTTATTTATTTATTTCTGCCACGCCATGCAGGTTGTGGGATCTTAGTTCCTTGACCAGGGATCAAACCCAGGCCCTCGGCAGTGAACGCGCCGAGTCCTAACCACTGGACCACCAGGAAATTCCCCATAAGCACTGTTTTTTAAACTCAAAATTCTCTCTGGATGGGTGAGCTGCATCTAGAGGGAATAAAAAGCTGACTCAGCCCCTGGTGGACTGGGAAATCCATCTAACCTTTGGGGTGGACATTCTGCCACGCTGTTCTTAATTCCTCCAAAAAGTAGTTATTGAGTGCTTTCTGTTTGCCAGGCAGAGATTTACATCTCTGCCTTATCTGTTCCCTTACGGGAACAAGATAGTCTAGTGTCTCTTTGCCAGGGGCTCGCGTTTTGGTGACATATAGTCAGCAATTAGGTCAAGCATTCATGCAAAATAATTTCAGATAATAGTAACATGAAAGGAGAAAATGAAAGGATGAGAGAGAGCAAGCAGGGCAGAGGCTAATTTTGATTGGAAAGTTGGGAAAGGACTCTTTGGAGAGCTTTGAGGACGGAGTTTCTGGCCAAGGGGGAACTCAGGCCAAAACTCCCAGGGAGCTGCAAGTGTGGTATGTTCAGGGGACAGGAAGGTCCCGGCAGGTGGAGTGGAGTGAACAAGGGGAGTGGGCAGTGGCTGAATAACGGAGAGTCTTCCAGGCCCTGTTCAGGAAAGTGGGTTCTATTCTGAGCACAGAAGGGTATTATTGAAAGATGTGAAGCAGGCAAATGACATTATCTAATTCATGTTAAAAAAAATTATTGGCGTATAATTACTTTACAAAATGTCGTGTTGGTTTCTACGGTACAGCACAGTGAATCAGCTATATGAATACATATGTCTCTTCTTCTTTGGATTCCCTTCCCATTTAGATCACCACAGAACACTGATCAGAGTTCCCTGTGTTATACAGTAGGCTCTCATTAGTCATCTGTTTTATTCACATGTGTTGAAGAACTCACTTTGGCTGCTCTGTGGAGCATGGGTCCTGAGGGTGCAGGGTCATCATTCAGGAAATGGCAGCAGGAGCCTGGGAGGGAATTAAGACTGGTTGCATTTCTCCTCTTTCTTCAGAACTCAGATCAAATGCTGGCACCTCTGTCAGGCCTCTTCCAACCTACCCAAGTCCAGTCCAGTGCTCCACACCACTGCTGGACATGGTGACAATTCTCTGTGGACATGTCCATCTCCTCCATCAGACTGAACTTTCCAAGTCCAGGGCCGTGCTTTACTGATCTCTGTGTCCCCGCTGTCTTCGGTGGTGCCCGCTGCTTGGCGACTTGAGGTTTGGTGAAGAATGAATGAGCAGGTGTTTGACTTCTTCTTCAGGAAGGGTGACCTGTTCCTATTCTGGCCCAAATCTTTTTTCTAGTACCTATTTGAGTGGATTGCTACTAGCTGCTGTGTACTGACAGTACTGCTGTGACTACTATATATGGTGTAGCAGGCATTTCTCACAACGGGTCTATGAGATAGGCGGTGATGTGAAAACTGAGGGTCTGAGAGGCTAAATAACTTGCTCAAAGTCCCACCTACACTCTAGTGAGTCATTAATACAGGAGTTAGGGCAAGATCCACATGGCTGGAGGGTCCTATGCACTCAACCTCCAGCATCTCTGGGAGGCTGAAGTGAACTTCTCTCCTGTCCCTGTTTGCTCCCATTTCAGGCTTTTATTTGTGCAGCTCTTTACCATTTACAGACTAGTTTTACACAAAGTTCTTACTGAAGCCGTAAAGCAGTTGTGAAAAACATGATTTTCTGCAGGTAGAGGAAAGGATTCTTCAAGAAATGTGTTGCTCTAGGCTCCTGAGCTAGTTTTAGTTGACTTTGGGTTCCAGACTCTTAGTGGGCAACCAGCCTTGTGACCATTGAGTTGGGCAGGTTGCTGACAGTCTGACATATGCCCTAAGGGACCAATGTCTTTTTCTTTCTCCCTTGGATATTTTTTAGGACCCTCAGGGACAAAAACGTTCATAAAAATGATGCATTAGGAGTATCTGAATTATGCTTTAAAAGGCAGCATAATTGTTTTTGATCGTTAATGAACAGTTATATATGAATCTATACTCAAAGTAACCTTTTAGGGGTATCTTGGAAAAAACGACATGGCAGGCATCATGTAGAAGGATGTGGTCTTATTGACAGTCACTTTGACTGAAGTGAAGTCGTTTCTGCCCAACTTCAGTCTGATTCTGTGTGTGGGATGGATTGGGAGACTGGCATTGACATGCATACACCACCGGTACTACGTGTAAAACAGAAGACTCGTGAGAACCTACTGTGGGGCGAGGGGGGGTTCTCCTCCCTGCTCTGTGGTGACCTGGAGGGAAGGAAGTCCAAAAAGAGAGGGGATACGTGTCTATGTAGCGCTGATTGACTCTGTACAGCAGGAAC